CCTTCAAGTCAGGGGAACCCTGCCCTTTTCATCTACAATTAGCCACATTCTCCCTGGTCCTGGCTGTGGTCACACTCCCGGCCACTGCTCTGGGCCAGTAGCCGCCCAGTCTCTGCCTCCGGCCGCTCAGTGGCTCTGCAGACCAGCACCGAGCTCTGTCCCCCGAGTCTGAACCTGCCACTGCTTAAAACCGTCAGTGGCTCCCCAGTGCTGTCTGGACAGAGCTTAGACTCCCTTCCCTCACCAACGGCCCCTGGCCCTGTGACATTCTGCCTTCCTGGGTGACAGAGCTCGTTTCTGTCCCCAGGCCCTCTGGACTCACCTCCAGAGCTTGGCCCATTTCTTGCCCCTTCAGAACACTTACTCCCCTGTGCCTGTGCCCCCCATCCTGCAGACCCGAGGCCTCTCGAAGCCCTGAGCAGGTCAGCCCCCCCTACCCTGTGTGGAGCATGGCACGGCCCCATGCGTGGCCTGGCCTCCGTGGCCAGTGTTGGGAATTCTGCCTGCTTCCTGTCTGTCCCTGGGTTTGGACTGGTTCCCTGCAGCTCCGTGCCAGCCTGTGGGTCTGGGCCCAGACAGGAGCGTGGGCTCAGCTGCCGGGGCCCTTCCCTGAGCCGTCGGAGGTAGGGTAAGAGGCAGAGCCCTGCCCGCAGCCGCGACTCCCCCCTGCGAGCCCGCGAAACTGGCCAGGGCTCCCCTCTGCTGAGACCCCCCTGGGCTGCTTGGTGCAGCTGTGGATGAGCCCGCACGGGGGAGCCAGTAACCTCCTTCCTGGGTCACCGAGTGCCCGCAGGAGTCCTGGGCCCCCATACCTGCCCAGGTCATTTCTGATTTAGGGCCGGGATGCGGTGTCCGCTGGGACCAGGAACTGCGGCATCTCCCCAGGGCTTCTCGGTGTAGGCGGTAACCCAGCAGTGACCCGAGGCCCTGCCTGTCTGAGCAGCCATGTCCTCCAGAAGCCACCAGCTAAGGGAGCGCTGTCACCTGCATGTCACGGTCGTGCCCTGGGCCACAGAACGGCAGGCCAGGAAAGTCATCCTCTCATCTCCACTTTAGGGACAGCCAGGCTGGTCCCATCTGGCTGCCTTGGCCTCCCGCCAGGGCCCCAGTCAGTGCCCAGGCAGCCCGGAGCAGTGAGGGGCCTGCCCAGCCAGTGCAGCCTCTGCACACCCTCCTCCCTGCTCCTGCCAGAGAGACTCAGCCCCAACTCAGATTCAGAGCGTGGTGGGCCAGCCAGTGGCCTGGTGGTCAAGACAGCTCCCACATGGCCGGCAGTGGGGCTCGAGTCCTGGACCTGGCAGATTGAGAAACGCCGGGTGTGTGCCCTGGAGAGTGGAGGAGAGTGGAGGAGGGATTGCAGTGTGACATCGCCCGGGTGTGTGCCCTGGAGAGTGGAGGAGAGTGGAGGAGGGATTGCAGTGTGACGTCGCCTGGGGGTGCCCCCTCCCTTTCCTTTGCCGTCTTTCTCCTGGCGTGGGCCCACTAACACATTGTTTAAAAATAAAAAAAATTACTACTTTTTTAAAGAATTATTTTATTCAACTTAATTTATTTTAATTTGACCAGGGGACCAGCAGATGGCATAATGGCTGTGTCACTGGACTCCCATGTAGCCGACTGCAGTTCAAGTCCCGGACCCAGTGGCTTAAATTCACGGAGGGCGCGGGTGCGTGCGTGGCCCAGATCCCGAGAGGAGAATGGAGGAGAAGGGATTGCGGTGTGGCCATCCTCCCTGGGGGTGATTTCTCGCTTTCTGTCTCTCTGTCTCTCTCTCTCTCTCTGGCGAGCGCACGTACCCTATAGCAAAAACCTCTCAAAAAAATTTTTTTTGGACCAGATTGAGACAGAGTGAGGAAAAGTGAAAAAGCAAGCTGCCAGGTCCAGGACTCAAACCATGGTCGGCCATGTGGGAACAGGGCGCCCTTAACCACCATGCCACCTACCAGCCCCTCTTTTTTTTTTTTTTTTTTTTGAGAGAGAGAGAGAG